AAGCACTAGGGGCACACCTCCAACCACACCTCCAACCACACCCCCTCTCTCATTTGCTACAGTGCACCGGGCCCCACATGTGATTTTAAAATTTTAAAATCACATATGAGGACCGATGCACTGTAGCAAATGAGAGAGGGGAGGTGTGGTTTGAGGTGTGGTCGGGGGGTGCCCCTATCATTTTCCAAAAGGAAGTTGGACAAAAAAGTTAAAATAATAGATAATTGAAAAAAACAAAGGGTAATACAAGTTTTGTCATTTTGTTAACATCTGTATTCATGTCAAGCTCAGACTGCCCATGGAGTTGTTATTTTTTTTTAAAAAAGGAAGGAGATAGAAATTCTGAGGCGTGAAACACTTTTCTTAAAGAAATATTTGTCCCTACTTGATATTCAAAGTTGCTTCGGGTTAATGCAAATTTTCTTCCCAGGATACAACAGAAAATAAAAATTCCAGTAAGCAAATCTGGATTTTTTCTTAATTCGTTGTAAAACAAGTTTGTAATATTACAGATGTTTTTTGATTAAAAAAGATCCAGAAAAGAATTGTTTTTTTATATCTGAAAACATAAACTATTTATAGGTTTGAAAATGTGCTTCCAACAGTTATAACTTTTCAAAACACTTTTTGGAGCAAACAACCACTTTTCAACAGTCACTTGTCTTTTCATAATTTTAAAATTCAAAATAACATTAAAAAAATATTATATATATATATATATATATATATATATATATATATATATATAGAACATTTAAGCGGCAGCGTGCTAAGTGCGTCTAATAATCACGTCAAAATCACGTTACCCGCACGCGGGTTTAGAAGCCTACACTTTGATCCATTATTCAAAGCCCAATAAGCATTCAATGCTTTTAAACCTCTAAAAGAATGTTCAAAGTTCTAATGTGGGACTATCTTGTTTTTTTTTTTTTTTACAAACAAATACTAACAAGAGGTTTTCTCAAGTTTGAAGGCTATGAAATGGTATTACAGATAGTAGAGAGTTCATTAATTATTTATGCAATTTTAGCTAAAATGAGCTTCATTTAGCGATGGAAACCAACTGAATATTTAACAAATAGTTTAATATTTATTTGCTTAAGTATTTAGTAATATTCGATTTTATAGTTCATTAAATAATAAACGAATAGTTTTTACTATTCAGTTCATAAATAAATAGAATTTGGCCATAGGTATATTTGATTCATTTATCTAATAAACTATTCGTTTATACAATTTAGTCCTTAAATTTTATTTTCCTGCTTGCGAATGTGGATAAACAGTTCTTTATTTGTGAATATTATTTATCACTAACTTGCATATTTGACAGATATATCATGTTTGGCTCTATTGCAAGACTAGGATAACGAAACGAATATTTGTCGAACATCTGCTAAGTAATTCACAAAGACCACCCAAACACTCTTAATGAATATTCGCAAATAGTTATCGAATATTTGAATACTATCCTAATCGAATTCGAATACCAGTTTCCTGCTCGTTTAGAGTTCGAATAGTCGTAGACGAACCGAATATGAATAAGAATACTAGAGTACTCGGTTCGCATTCGGTTCATTTCCACCCCTAGCTTCAGTTATAAGAACTGAATCTCTATGAGAAGAATTGGCCAGGGCCTACCATGTTAGCTAATTAAGTATTCCCGAAGATTTAGCAAATAAGGCCAAATCGAATTTAACACCAATTTACTATTTGAGCCAGATTTGAATTCAAAAAAAAATTGACGGTGTTTAAAGTCGAATATTGTGGTATTCGATTCGATTTGATCATTTCCACCTAGTGACCCCCTCATGTATTTCTCCCAAATCTTTGAAAAGCCAACAATATTTAATTAAAAAAAAACTAATCTTACCTCGTACGATCTTGTCGACAAAGACTGCAAAGGCGAAATAGGAGAGGGCTAGCCAGTTAGAAATCATCGGAATGGGAGGTTTTGGAAAAAATACTTGGATTCATAAGATTTTTCCAATCCTAACCCAATCCAATAACACCTAACAATCTAGTCCTCTCCTTAAAACCCTAGAAGAATCGCAAAAGCAGCTTGAGGTATTTTGTTAGGCTAGGACCCTTTATATAGGCAGAAAACAAGAAGCGGTATTCTTAAACCATTGCTTACGGCCCACAATTTTTTCTTCTCATTGAAAAACCGGAAATGCTATTTGGCTCGTGGGGGCCCCTTCGCGAGCCAACTCGCGTGAGGAGGAGGGGGCAGGCGAGTGGGCCCCACAAAGCTGTGGGGCCGCACTGCGCCTGCCCCGCGGCCTCCTCCCACGTATGCGAGTTGGCTCGGCGCGGGGCCCCCGCGAGCCAATAGCAAAACTGTTGAAAACTGACGTGCATGACAAGTCGCAACTCAAAGAATACAAATCCTCTAAGAACTGCTCGCATGCGACCTAGCTATTCTCATCCATTCCGTGAAGAGAGGAAATCTCAATTTTGCCCCCTTTTTTTCCATGTAAGAATGAAAATTGCTCGGTCACATACGGGCAGTTCTAAAAGGATTTAAACCCGAGAGCACAAGATTAATGACAGGTTTTCGTATTTATTTTCTTTCCACAAGTAGATAAGAGTCGAACTACGCTACAAAGTTCCCCAGGCGCACAATGCATGTGATGTGAACAAAGACTGTATAAGAATTAGGCTAATTTGCATTCAAATATTTAACAGTTACATACATTGCATCTAGATACTCTCGCTTATTTTTGGTAGCACTTATGTTCTGTAAAATTGTTGAAGTTAAAACTTCAACATCCTTATTTTATTCAAATGTGAGAATGTTCTAAAGAAAATTTTCATATGGCGCTCACATGTTAGTTTTCAAAAATTTTAACCCTTAATTTCTCCTAAATTTTCTGTTAAACTTACCATAGTTCTCTCTTAAATCAACCCAAACACTATTTTGAAATACAATTGGATAGATTTTAACCAAAAATTAAACTAAAATTAAGAGTTCAAAAAAATATCTAAGATTAACATGAGAGCGTCCCATGAGAATTTTCAAGGGAATTATTTCATGTTTGCGTTATAGATGGCATATAGAGTGCATATTTTTAAAACTTCAAGGTATACAGGTGTTACCAAGAACAACTTAGGATACATAAGCGCAAATCAGGGGAGCTATAATAACTAGTTAAACCACATTTGATAATCAAAGGAAATGGAAACAATAAACAACAATTATCGAACTCTCATTCGATTAAAGAAACGATATACAATACTGACATCTTGAACATCAGCAAACATAAGTACACAAATGATGGAGGGCCTATGAACGCCATAGTCATCTTCTGAAGAATTTATGACAATAGAACTCATCAAAGGACAACCGATACGCTGCAAAAAAAAACAAAGGTCCATCAGCTCTTCAATTGCCACAGTCTCAAGTGTAGGATTGCAGAAAGGAGCTTAACTTGGCAAACCTGGATCCTCGCACAAAAGTTTTGTGCACATATCAACCGAGTCAGAATGCAAACTGGGTAAGATTTGTTGCAAAAAAGGCAAAGGCACACTCTTCTTTATGTTTTGCAGAAGCTGGAAATTTTGGAATCAGATGTCATTACATAAGGAAAGAAAATAAGGAAATATAATTGATTTAATTATGCAAATACCTGAACATTGTTCTTTCCGTGAAATGGTGGATATCCATTCAGAAGCTCAAAACAAATGGCTCCCACGCTCCACATATCTGCCTATATACACGATGAGCTATGGTACCTAGCGAGGCATAATTCAAAGCATATGAATGCAATTTTTACCTTGTCATCGTACTTTCCAAACTGTAAAACTTCTGGAGCCATATACAAGGGCGATCCACAAACCATGTCTGCAAATTCACCGGGCTGAACAACTCTGATTGAAAGTAATCAGAAGCTGTTTTAGAGGCTATATGTACTGAAAATAAGGTCTCCATTAGTTGTAACTTGTAACAAAAATCTGAAGGAATTATGTTAGTTCACTTGGAATTCAATATTGGCGTCTTCAGCAGTCAAAAAAATTGCTTTTAGGTAGAACAGAACCCACATAAAAAACAATTCCTATATTTCTTTTATGATGCTGATGTGTATGAATATGTTTTATAAAATGATAGATTCTCATAAATACCTGGCTAAGCCAAAATCAGATATCTTTAGTACTGCATCGCTGCTGGCAGTAGATAGTAGAATATTCTGCTTCATTGACAGGCCCAGATAAAAAGCATGTTATAAAGATAACTTTTCTATTAGGCGGATAACTAAGTTTTCTAGCTCATTTTCAAAAATAAAAAAATAAAATTATATAAATCTACCTCAGGTTTGAGATCGCGATGAATGATACGGTGAGCATGTAGCACCTCCAATCCCTCTCCTGAAATAGCAGAACTCATAACAAAGTAAAAAATTTGTTCACAGGTATTATAAGCAGCCGTAAGTGGTTGTTACTTAGGAACTTGCATGATCTAATGACTGACCAATAAAGTATGGAATATGTTGCACATATGACAATCTTAATATGGATGCAAGCTAAACAAGAAATGCTATCATAAGTATGAGTAAACTGTTGAAATCTGAAATATTTCCCAACAAAATGGATAATGTGGCTAGAATTTGAGAAAACTCCAGTCAGTATAAACAACTTAACAATGATGAGCCATCAAATCTTCATGAAATGGTAGGAATTCTCCAGCCATGGAAACTTACTAAAAAGGAAATGAGTCACCATAATCATAATGGAGGACAGGTAATGACACAAAACCACGGTATATGATAATTTATGTAAGAAACTCAAGAAAGAAAGAAAGAAAGAAATAAGAAGATGAGAGGGGTAGAAATATGGGTAACACGAGGGTATTAAGAGCGAACTAATTAAATTCTTAACGTAGAAGGAATTAAAGAAAGGGGAAGCGAATATTTATTTTGATGAAAAGCACATAGGAGATTGTAAAGTAGATCCCTATGAATCAACCTATGGTAGAAACATTTTGATCCCCCCCCCCAAAAAAAAAAAAAAGAAAAAAAGGCAAAGTCGAGAATGTTCCCCCCCCCCAAAAAAAAAAAAAAGAAAAAAAGGCAAAGTCGAGAATGTTCATAAACGAAATTGAGAATGCACAGCAGCACGACATGTAAATATACAGATTATTCTCGAGCTCTGATTTTTTTTTTTGTGTGTGTGTGGATACATAAGCACATTTGTTTGTAGTTATTAGAATAGAAGAAATTTTCACTGTAGACCCAATCCCGGATTTAATCCCTAAAACCGACCCACTTAAAAGTTATTTATGAGAATCGACCCACTTTGAGTTAATTGCGGTACTAATTAGTCGGGGTTGTCAACCCCGACTAATTAGTAACCTAATTACAAGCGAGGTCAGGAAGCAGAGAAGGTTTGCGGCTGCTAATTAGGCTACTAATTAGTCAGGGTTGGCAACCCCAACTAATTAGTACCGCAATTAACTCAAAGTGGGTCGATTCTCGTAAATAACTTTAAAGTGGATCGGTTTTAGGGATTAAATATGGGAATGGGTCTAAAGGGGAAATTTCTTCTATTAGAATAACTAGATACATCAAGATAATTATTATGGAGTCAAATTTGTGAACCATATAATTATGCTTCAGAATAGAGCAATCGAGCAAACACCGAAGAGGAACAATAATATATGAATCTATTTCTCTTCGTACGTTTATGGAATACCTTACTACACATGTTTCAGAGGGTAGCTCCAAAATGTACGACGTTAAGAAATTAATCGAGTCGTCGCAATTAGAGAAGTTGTAATCTCTTAATCAAATTACCAATTAGCAGCTTCAGAATCTTAAGGATTATAATTCAAACATGACAGGCTGAAACATACAAAGAGTCGCTTCAGCAAAAGGGTATAATAAAACAGAGATAGGAATCGCATACAACACAACCCGATTTGTTTAATTTTTAATTCTCATATTAAGACTCCAAGACAACTTTAATCAACCACACGTAATCTTTACAGCTGATGATGCGATCCTCATCCAATTATCATCAACCCTAATTTCCTCCAAGTAGATACCAGAAGGAAAAAGAGAGAGAGAGAGTTTTGGGGCACAATAATTGAGGTAGAAAAGTGCAAACATTAAAATTGAAACTAAAATACCTATCTGCATCATAAACTTTCGTACAACTGCTTCTCGCAATCTCTCTCTGCGTCGAACATAAGCGGCCAAGTCTCCGCCAGCGCAGAACTCCAGAACCAGGAACACGCATCCATCGGCCTGAGGGGTACGAAAATAAATTACACAAGAGTCAGGGACCACTCCTAAATTTCCCGCCGTCCAAATTCAGAATATCAACCTGAATAACGTCGAGGAGGCGGATGATGTTGGGATGACGGACTTTGGCGAGGAAATTTAGCTCGCAGTCCAGACACTCCCTCAATTTTCTTGTAAGCCCAGAGAGGCGCACTTGCTTCAAGACGACATCCTGGCCGTTGGATCGGTTGATCGCTCTCCATACTATTGAGAAAGGTCCTTCGCCTCCGATCCTCGATTTGATCTCGTAGTCGCCGACGATGAAGGAAGAAGTAGCCATTTCTCCTTTTTATTTACGATGCTGCCCTTCCCCTTCTCTTTTGTACAGAAAAATAATCGGGCTTGTAGTTATCCACATCTGACTTGACTAGCAGGACTTGGGCTAGTTTAACAATTGGGCCTACAACTTGTAACTACTTTTATCCGTCTTTTTGTTTCTTTTTCTTTTATTTAACATAGCTTTAATTAGTTCTTTTTAGCATGTTTCCATGCTATGAATGTAAATAAATTAGAGTAAAAAAATCACTTAACCAGAGAGTGTGAACCATACTCTTCAGAGAAATGAATTTGAACAATTGGACAGAGACCACGAAAAGCCAAGGAGTTTATTTTTGTCATTGAAAAATATATTACTTGTTTCGATTTCATAATAATATATATGAGTAATAATTATTTGGAAGAACGTAGGTTTGAGTTCAGATTTATCTTAAATATAAATGGCCTCGTGCTTGAACCTCTTCTTTTGATAGTTGGCGAATCGCATTTCCAAAATTGATAAATATGGTCCACTTGTGCCAAATATGACAAATGTGATGAATTTTTGAAATTAATCGTTGCCAATACTATCTACTGAATATAAGGTGTGGCATTACGTAACAAGTGATGGAATCTAAATTTAAAGTTTACGATAAGAAAAATGTCCTACAGAAAAATGGCAATTCAATATATACGTTGGAATGTCAGATTCTCATGTTAACATTGATTCATATGCATTGGCATTTAAATTTTATTGCTCAAGATATCCGTTGAGTTGTTGTATTCTCATATCAATAATGATTCATAAATATTGTCACTGAAGTTTTCCTGTGCAAAATATCCGTTGAGTTATCGTATTATCATATTAACAATGTATTGGTATTGAAATTTTCTTGCTTGAAGCATCCGTTAAGTTTGTTGCATTCTCATGTTAACAATGATTCACACGTATTGGTTTAACATGCTTCGCTTTCTAATGACTTCTTAATCCCTACTACATTTTTATGGGGTCCAACTATTCACACTCCCAAACAGTAACTTTGGGGGTGTGTGAGGACTAAATTGCCCTTCTCCCAAACCAAAACATGTCAAGTCCATTCCAGAAATACCCTCAACATCAAAAGGGCATTTTCGGCAATCCAACTCCCAAAATTACTGTTTGGGAGTGGATATAGCAAACATAATTTTTATGCTTGTTTCAAAATGGTAAACAGGGTCTAATTAAAGGCACAAAGAAACTAAGATTCAAAGACACCATAGAAGAGGAACCGCTTCTGAGTCATGGAATTGTGTTCCAAGGTTGGATTGTTCCTCCGCTCTGAAAAAAAAGGAGGGGAAAATCAAAAAGGAAAGGTTGGGTTGTTCTTCGAAGAGAAGATTGGATGGTTTTATTTAAGAAATGATCTCTTTACTCTCAAACAAGAAGAAGAAAGTATCCAAATTCATCAATAATTTCATGATTGGAAACCTCCAACTTGAATACAGCCGGACAGACTGAATTCCAGCCCCGGAGAGGATTGCGTTGTTCTTCGTAGATTGAACTCAGAACACGGGACTCTGATCAATTCGTACAGTTTCATGCCAAAAAAATTTGATGATAATAATAATAATTACACTGTCATTTATCGCTCTTATTAGTAAAGCACAGAATGCTATATCATACTTCGAGCGCGGCTAACCCAGTTCGTTAACGATGTAGGATTGGTCTCTTTGCTACCGAATTAGAGCTAAGTTTTTTGGGGTGGCAACTTATATACGATATCCCCCCTATCAAAATACCATTACTGCTATCAAACCGGCGAAGTAAAGTATTTCTAGCTTGCAGGGTTCATTTTCAATTTGTTACACTGCATTTTAGAGCCAAAGGATATAAATCTGGACAATTAGCGTTGTACAGATGTGCATATACAGGGGCAACTAATCCATGCATCTGGTAATTGATTGTAACTTACTTTGATGGCGGGCCTATATATTATTGCAAAAAGATGTCTCAGGAAAATTAGAGCGCTAAAGAAAGTAGTAAAAAAGAAAAAAAAACAAAAAAAAAGAAAAGGAAGATGGCATACTCAAAAGTAGAATTAGATAGTGATATTATCCAGTATATGTATATATACTGAAATGGAAGTGCAACAAGAAAACTGGCCACAACAAACAATGCCTCTTCCGACTCTTTCTAACGCTACACCGACAAACATTATGCGTTTACAATAAAAGAGAACAGCTTTATTTCTCTGCAAAATGTGCCACCTCTGGCAACAAGCATTTTGGAGTAGTCTTTCTTCTGCAAAAAGAGAGATCAGTCTCTCTTTTATTCTACTCTTTATTCTAGCATAGCCTAAAACTACATTGCTGATTCTTGCCAAATACTAAGGCAGGTGTTTCACCTTCCTCTCCTGTAAAATGAGGGGAAAAAAGAATGGTTATTCCCAAATAACAGATCAGACGATTTCATGTGGAGTTCATGACTTTAAATATGCCAATATTTTGAAGAAGAATATAAGATTAGTCATGTAAAATAAGAAGGCTTACCAATTTATTCCCTTCGAAGATGCTCTTAGTGTTAATAAGGAGGAGGAGGTGAAGAATACATGTACGGGGAGTAGGATGGTTTCTTGTGGTAATAAGGAGATGGTGGCGATTTGTACTCGTACTTAGGAGGATGTAACTCGTGTTCAGGAGGTGGTGATTTATCCTTGTATATGGGAGCAGGTGACTCGTGCTTAGAAGGTGGGGACTTGTATTCATAAGTAGGAGGAGGTGACTCATGCTTTGAAGATGGTGGCGATTTATGCTTGTACATAGGAGGGGAAGATTCATACTTTGTAGGTGGTGATTTGTACTTGTATACAGGAGGATATGACTCGTGATCTGTAGGAGGTGGTGATTTATGCTCGTATATAGGGGCTGAGGACTCGCACTTAGGAGGTGGTGAATTGTATTTATATGCAGGAGGAGATGACTCGTGCTTTGAAGATGGCGGTGACTCGTGTTTGTATCTTTGAGGAGGCTTGTAATCGTGAGGTGGTGGAGATTTATATTCATAGGTAGGAGGTGATTTGTAATGATCATGTGGGGATTTATGTTCGTGCTTTTGAGGTGGCATGTGATCAAATGGAGGTGGAGATTTGTATTCATACGTAGGAGGTGATTGGTAATGTTCAGGTGGGGATTTATGTTCGTAGTTTGGAGGTGATTTGTGATCATGAGGTGGAGATTTGTACTCATGTGTAGGAGGTGACTTGTAATGACCGGGTGCGGATTTATGTTCATGTTTTGGAGGTGACTTGTAATCAGGCGGAGGTGGAGATTTGTACTCATATGTAGGAGGTGATTTGTAATAATCGGGTGGGGATTTATGGTCATGCTTTGAGGGTGACTTGTGATCATACGAAGGTGGAGACTTGTATTCATATGTGGGAGGTGATTTGTAATGATCAGGTGGAGATTTATGTTCGTGCTTTGGAGTTGACTTGTGATCATGTGGAGGTGGAGTTTTGTATTCATATGTAGGAGGCGATTTGTAATGATAGGGTGGGGATTTATGTTCGTGCTCTGGAAGGTGATCAAATGAAGTTGGAGATTTGTAGTTGTATGTAGGAGGTGATTTGTAATAATCATGTGGGGATTTATGTTCGTGCTTTGGAGGTGACTTGTGATCATGTGGAGGTGGAGATTTGTACTCATATGCAGGAGGTGATTTGTAATGATCGGGTGGGGATTTAATTTCGTGCTTTGAAGGTGACTCGTGATCATACGAAGGTGGAGATTTGTAACTGTATGTAGGAGGTGATTTGTAATGATCGGGTGGGGATTTATGTTCCTTATTTGGAGGTGACTTGTGATCATATGAAGGTGGAGATTTGTATTCGTATGCAGGAGGTGATTTGTAATGATCAGGTGGGGATTTATATTCATGCTTTGGAGGTGACTTGTAATAAGGAGATGGGAATTTATACATAGGAGGCGGCATGTAATAATGAGGCGGAGATTTGTATTCGTGAGTAGGAGGTGATTTGGAATGATAAGGAGGGGATTTTTGTTCTTGTTTTGGAGGTGACTTGTAATGAGGGGGAGAATTGTAGATAGGAGGTGACTTGTAATAGTATGGAGGTGGAAATTTGTATTCATGCATAGGAGGTGACTTCTGTGGAGACTTATATTGAGGAGGTGGAGATTTGTAATCATGTACTGGAGGTGACTTGTAATAAGGAGGCGGAGACTTGTTGTTGTACAAAGGAGGTGACTTATGATGAGGAGATGGAGAGCTACCATAATACGGAGGTGGGGAGTTGTATTCGGGTGTAGGAAGTGGCTTATAATGATGATGTGGTAGTGGTTTATACTCATAAACAGGGGGTGACTTGTAATAGTAATGAGGTGGCTGTTTATACTCATAAACAGGAGGAGGGGGAGAAGAGTAGATGACACCATCTCCTCTAGTCTCAAAAGGGAGAAGGCTGAGAGAAAGAGAGAGTGCTAGAAGAGCAGAAGAAAGGGAGGCCATAGAGAACTTTCTTTCTCTACTACCCATGGTTTTCTGATTTCAAACACTACACAGCCCTCATTATATAGCCACATGAATTACCTCTAGGTGTCAATCTTGCATAACTCTAATTGGTTAGTTTAGAGAGTTACAGTGTAAAAAGTGCTGTTGCTATCTAAAACTTTGACTGTCTTGTTCTAATTTTGTACATAATAGACAATAATAAAGAGAGAGACAGTTGGACTTATATCTCCTCACTAAAGATGGCTACAAGCATTTGAATTGAATAGTTGGTGTTGTGCATCAATCGTTCCTCTTGTAATAGATTTGCGTGCCTGGAAAATATTCTCTAGAGCAAGGATTGCTTTTCCTTCATTAGGTAGTAATCTCTCTCATGGGAAAATAAGATGTATGAAAAGTTAGAAACTAGAGCTTTCATTATTAATTCATATGGTTCAGCTAGCTTTTCTAGCAATTGAATATTATACCACTTAATAGCGATTTAAAACTTCTTAGTGTACAACATACTTAAAACCAAGGCTTGAAATTTCAGTAGTGATTATAGCTTTTCTAGCAATTGAATATTATACAACTTAATAGTGAAATAAAACTTTTTAGTGTGCGACATACTTAAAACCGAGGCTTTAAATTTCAATAGTGATTATAGTTTTGTTTCTGTTAAATTTTCTAGCAATTGGATATTGTAAAACTTAATAGCGATTTAAAACTTATATGAAGTGTACAACATACTTAAAACCAAGGCTTGAAATGTCAGTACTGATTATAGTTTTGGTTCTCCTTTATTTCTTACTAGTAAGGAGAGTTTCAATGGTTTCGTCAGCTTCATAATGAAATTAATGATGCATGAAAAAGATCAACTTTAACCATAAGATTTATTCATTGATAATTTTTTCATTTTCTCAACAATATAACACTATAAGATCACATTTAGTACTTCAAAGCTAAGAACTAGTTATCTATTAGTCGTTAAATGTCATTATGTATTATTAACAGTATTAAACAATCTTACCCGGATCTGACAGGCATATACTTAACTCCGAAATGATATGGCCAATATGAATTGGTATCCACCAATACTTCAAACCCAAAACACTAAGAAGAGGTGAAAAACAAAAAAATTCAAGTTAATTAATGGTTGACAAAATAATGAGACTCAAGTTGAAAATTGTACCTGTTAACAAACATGTGATAGTTAGCTTTTTTGCTCATTGATTTTCTCTTTTCTCTCACGCGCGCATAACATGAAACATTAGTTGGCAATAGGCTAAAAAACATTAAAATGGACAATATAATGGTGATATTTACCGGTTGAAATACTAACGTAAGTTTGTATCAGCTAGCAGCACTCGAGTAAAGTTAGTAATGTGAAACCTAGAAATACATCAACTGAACAATTAAAAATAGTTCGATGATTAAGTTTTTACCATCAATGATTAATTACTTTTCTAGTTGTGATCACACACTGGGTTGTTTGGTTGTCAGATGACTACAGTGGGTGCAGTTATAATTTACACCATAGTCACATTTGAAATTTGATTGTTTGTTTTGTTGTAATTGAAGTTTTTTCACAATTATAATTATAAAAAATAAAAAATGAGCTATTTTCAATAAAAATGTCTTGCAATCAATTTGACACGTATTTAAAATACAGTTGCAATGAAAAAAGCTACAACTACAGCTACAGCTGCAGTAGTAGTGAAAAATATATGCAACCGTAACAATAATTACAGTTGCACTTGAAATTTTCTGTGTAAACAAAAGACTCCTTAAGATGATTTTCATCACTCTCCAAAGACAGGAGCCCAAATCTTTTATCCCAACTTTTACGACCCGGTAGGTTTATGGTGTGAACAAGTTGGAAGAAAAAACAATATCTCAAAAAAAGATCTTCAATTTTATGATTGTTGTGCAGCTAACATTAAGCTAATGGCCAAATAAGCAAAGAGAACAAGCTGGACATAAAAATAGTGGTCCCAACCAAGCTTTCTTTGCAATTAGTGTGTGCGGGAAATATTCTTGATTAGCCAACTTTTTCCTTACTTGTTACTCCGTAAAAATTCTAAAATTGATGTTTTTTTACACGGGTAGGAAATTAATCTTTGTGCTCTTCCTTATTTGCAAAAACCAGGTATACTGATGCAAACCACTGGGGTATGTGGTTATAGAACCATGTGAGATTGTGCTAATAAGACCCACTATCCACCAGCACAAACTGACATGGACTCTTGCTAGCCAATCAATTTGATGGTCTGCGTTCTACACTATCTACGGAATCCGGTTGCTCACATAGAATTCGAATCAGATGGGTTCAATGTTAACTAAGGGACGAAGCTGTGCAGTACAAATATGAAGACCAGAAGGAATAAATAAGTTAGATGGGATCCAAAGAGATGGCTCAAATAACATTTTTTGTTGTGAAGCTACTTACAGAGTTGGAGAGGAACAAGATTGGATGTGAGTGTGATACAGCCACAACTGCTACCACAAGACAAATTAGACTAACAAAAGAGGAAGTGAAGTGGTAGGATAGACTTTCTGATTCTTCAACTATTTCAAGCTTGTTAGTTTGCACGTCTTGTTCATTTGTCATTTGGAGTACCATTTAATTCCGGCAAGCATATAGCTAAGTTTTAACCAATAGTTTGTCACTATTTTAGTTATGATGTGTTGGAATTTACGGATAAGTTTGAATCCTCTATTAAGGAATTTGATATGCCGTTTATGCTGTGCTAGTTCTGTGAGTTTTGTGTAAACAAGCCTATTAGGGAAAAAGTAGAGAGTACAGATAACAATTATGTAATTGTTGGATATCAGTATTTAAATTAAGAAAAGATAAAAGAAATAAAAGCTAGTGCTAACCAGGTTTGGATTCGATGGACCATGCAGAGTGCAATATCACTGCAAACAGTGAAGAATTTCCTCAGGCAGACATGCCCGGCTCGCATTTGAACTGTTATCCTAATGCAAATAGCAGCATCCCTTGTGTTCCCAAAAAAAAAAAAAAATACAGAGCACACAAGTAAATCTCAATCAGCTAGTGCCAAAAAGAAATCTACCCAAGAAAATAACTAAGGCTGCCTATTGAATGATCTTACCACTGAATATTCATTAATCTTTAATGAAGATCGTCCTTTTTGCTCTCCTTCAGTTGTCCACTCCTTTTCGACATTTTGTCTGCTCAAGAACATTAGGTAAAAAGGCAAAAGTGGAATGGTGCTTTATAGTTCCTATGCAATTTGATAAAATTATAACAAAAGAAGTTAACAGCCAATGCTATATACCGAACAAACTTTCAGAAGGTAAACTGCACATAACCCCCATCATTTATACCTCTTCACCTATGGGTTTTTTTATATTGCGCATCTTTTGGAAAAGGAGTGCATTCGAAAATTTTAGTTCCCTTTTCCGAAAAAGGAAATCCAAATATGCTAAGTGCTATTAAATGAGTTGAGGAGTGGTAAGTCCTACTGAGAGGTATAGAAGAAGGGGTTATCTGCAATTTACCCTTTTCTAGATGCATTATTCATATCATATTATAAAAACTACCAGCTATAAATGAAATGCAAAAATAGGATATGTATAAGAAACTGGAAAGCAAGTATGCAAGAGAACAAACTCAAGGGTGAAGTCGTACAAAAGACAGAAGATTACCCACCCTCTGATGTAATTAATAAGCATGTGGGTTACAGACTCAACCAGTGAAAACTGGATTTGTAAATTGAGCAAAAGATGAGAGAGCCACCACAGTTAAATTACTATAAGTAGCTGGTCAACTGTTCTGAAAATAACTTGTCAAAAAAGGCAACGAATTTGTAGTAAACTGAGTGGCTAACTCTAACCTATATCCTCCAGACTAGCTTGTGATGCTGCAGCAACAATCAAAAGTAAGTAGTAACCCAAACATCACAAAGTAACCATCCAGTTTGCCCATTTCCTGGAGATACTTGTACACTAAATTTGAAGATATGTTGACAGCTGCTAGCCATCTTCTATTTGGGTAAGCATAATTGGCTTATAGAACAGCTCCAGCATACAAGTCTCTGTAGCTCACAAAATCTAGACCATTAAGAAACTGAAGGGACACACAAGAGAACAAATTGCACCTACTTGATGACAAACATACATCATGGGAAAGACTAAAGCAGAATCTTCTAATTATACGACACATGAAGGCAAAATTTACTTATGTACTCAAAGGAGAAAATTGGAAATGGCGGCCAAGACTTCACTCAAGATTCTCTAAGAGCCACTGAATATCTGAAAGTTACAATTAGGGATAGGTAGAGCAATATATGTCATTCAACTGAAGGTGAAAATTCTTGCCATGGTCCTGCTCCACTCACATATCCATACAAGGTTGTAACTTGGAAGGCATCTGGAGAGAAAAAGCAAACACCTCACGTATCAGCTCAGCAGTCATGTTCGCAAATAAGAATTAATTGCAATTCTACAGGAAAGGAAAAACAATTGCATAACCGAAGAAATCCCTTTATACAATAAGTCAGACGCAACAAAGACAGTCAGAACAAGTCAACTTCCACAAATGTTCCATTAAACTTCTGATTCCTCCTTCAAGAGATATAAACTACTAGCACATAATCATCGAGTTCATTATGTTTCTTCCCCTCTAATACGTTCTATGCTTTATTAAGCTTTCGTTAGTTTAAGAGTCAAAGAGACAGTTCCCTGCTATTCTACGTATTGGATAATTTTGACAACAATCATCACACTAATCCAAGCATCTCCTTCAACCTGAAACTGACAATTTTGGCAGAAAACAAAGACTTGAAGCTCTGTAGTTGAGAGACACCAGTTATTTCAGCTGTCAGACAAACATCAACCCCGAACATGTGGTAGAAATATTCATGTCGAAGTAGCTAAGATACAGAGTCACTCGGCAAATAGAAGGTAGCGCAAGAAGGGTTATAAGGTGCCCATTCCAATGGATGGATCCAGAATGAGTATGGAGCAATACATAGGTATGCCATGTTTCTCACCAAGAAGTCTCTGCAGATGTCGAGAAACAGAGCAGATAGCCTTTGATTAGTCATCGCAAACAACAGAGTACCTGAGTCACGTGGACAATTCCATTGTGACGATATTCACATTGGAATATGTGTCAGATGTGACAGTTATTTTTATGCCATGTTGTTTCTTGCGTCTTATTTTAGGATTTGTTATGCATTGCTATCCTGAAAGTCTCATATCCTACCAAAAACATGGTATGCATTAGGTGAATACTGATGAATTTATTTTAGCTGGGCATCTGAGAACAATCATTCGACTTTAAAGTTCCAACTCTTAATAATTGGTACAGCAATATAGGCAGGCTATAAAGAGCGGCGAATCAGTCAGCTTGAAGAGCCTCAACTGAACGAAACTGAATGAGTGAGTCTGAGTGGGACATCAAAATCACTTACATCTAGCAGGTACTCTGTTGAACAAGTGATGCTCAATAGCACAACTGTAACAGATTTGTGGATAAATCAGAAACACAGAAGCATGAGGGACTTGTGCATATGTACACCACAGGTACATGCATTTTCAGCAAGTCAATCATGGGCTTCACTGTATACAGAGCCTTCTATATTCAGGTAGGCTAAAAAAGCATTTTGTGGTAAGGCTGCAAATGCATTGCTGAAAGGGAGTAATAATACTTCGGACGCATGGCATTCATCATTGGGTAATAATCTAACCACATCCACAAACACCCATTTTCTCTCTCCTGTTCTTATGGCTTAGTCTACAAGATGCAGATCTCTAGTAGGAAAATGACCAAATATCCTTTTTATAACTTGCTTATTTTTCCTTTTTCTACACACATGTGAGCACATGCATGCGCGCACACACACACGTATAATCCAACACATTATTTCCGTGTTTGGACCCCTTTTATGCTAATACAATCGTTTGGGAGATTAATCTTCATACATTCTCTGGCCTGATAATAGTTTCTTCCTATCAATATTTATCAGAACTGGTCACTATTTAGGTGCCATTCTATCCTGATACAAGGCAAACTCCTGTTAAGGGGTTCACAGAAAGCTGTACAAAATTGAATTTCAGTGAGAAGGAACACCGATTCATAAATCTAATGCTTTCAAAGTGGAATATTAGATGGTCTCGCCATAATCAATTTCACAACCTACCCGTCTAAACTGATGCTCCGTAAATCAACATAATATCTAAATATTAGCCAACTTATAAGCTAATTATTCCATTAGGTATTAAATAGCTGTAATTTCATTTGAAGTTAGCATTCTAATTTCAACTGGCAACATTCTCTCTGGGAGAAATTTGTCATAATAATCTAGGCTCTTGAAGCTCGGACCTTCACATATTTAAAGTTATTCTGCAGCATACAAGTTTTTTAACACATGGAACAATGTTTTAGAGGATTAATAATGAGATTAACCACTAAAGATTCAATCACATGATTGCTAAGATTGATATGCGCCTTTAAAGATTTTCACTTTAGTGGTTTCGGTCCTTCATCATGCATCCATGCAACCTAGATTTCAAGAAGTGTATGACAATTGGTATTGAATCTCACTTGAAAACTCTTTGCGTGAAAGGTGTATCCATCAAAAATATGTTCCACTCAATACAGGGTTAACCCCATGCAAGTCAACAAAAACAATTTGCAGTGGGCTATCATGTTTCAAAGCTATTAAACAGGAATTAATTTTCACATTTCCTATAATAAAAATTCATCAGAAACAGATATATCCAAATGGTCTATGAATCATCAAAGGCTTGATTTGGTTTAACAACTATGGGAGTTATAAGTACATAATGATCAAGACTAGAAGAAGTCTAGACACTAAAATATTAGACAGAAGGTGATTGAAGGAACTCTTAAGGGGATCTGGGTATAACCCTCATTTTTTTAAGTTCAAAACATGAAAAACATGAGGCTTATGTAACATGAAAGTGGGGACATATGGCTTTACCGGTTCATGTAAATGGCAAAAACATGTAAATGGTAAAGAAAATGAATTTTCATTAGTTTGAATGTACCCTAAAGTAAATTACACTATGAAATAAGAGGCGTTTCTCAAAGCACACCTTTGGCCTTTTTTGGTTATTGAACTAACAGTCTACATGCTAAGGAATGTAACCTTTAAAGAAGGGGTTATGCAGTTATGGAGTCGCATCAAAATTAAAGGGATCACATTAGATGTATTCATAACACTGGCCATAACCCATCATTAACACCACTCTTCCCCAAAAAAATGAGTTTTTGCATAAATACTTCCAGAAATTACAAAATTACCCTCAGACCTCAAATAACCACTGATTAGAGCCATTACATTCTAGCTATGACCTCTTTTGGGAAATTTTGCAGGAGTTATTTAGTATTAGACACCTGATACGTACTAAATCATTTCGACCTGTATCCAACACTAACTTGTATCACATGCATTTGCTTATGGAAAGGGAAGAGGAATAATTTATGAATCATACAGAATTCAATCCATAATGACAAGCAATCCCGATGGGAGATATCAGTGATCACTTAGACTAATAAGATGTCATACTGTCGAACTGCTTGTAGTATGCAATATGGAACAGTTTGTTGAATGACATTAGATAATCTTATCAGAGAATCAGAGAATCATGTTAGAGGTTCTATGTTCAACCAATGCACTTCTTACTTAGTAATCTGCCTATAAAGTTCTTTTGCACTTAATCATACTCCTTTTAAAAATACGAGTTCGAAAAAAGCTTTTCACGGTCAATATTTCCCTTCACTATTTTCAATATTACATTTTAATCATAACCTATCCTAATCCTAATTATTCTACACTAATCTTACATGAATCAACAATTTAAAATCACTTTCACTACAACAATATCGTATTTGTCCTATCCCATAGCTCAACAATTTTAATTTAAAACTCACTATAACAATATTATATTGTCCTACCCTAATCCCATCCCACGTGAACTAATTATAGGCTTTTTTTTTAGCCGTGAACTATAATCCTGTGTAATCGGTTATTTGAAAAATAGTCATAATTTGATAAAAAGGGAAAAGTGCTTCTTGGCACATGAATATGTAGGTTTTATCTTATAGATAGATAATATCTATTTAAATTCCTAATTATTTTGTTTTTATTCTCTTACCATAGTAAATAGATATCCAAGTTCCTGAGGAGTGCTTTCAATTGAAATATTCACTTTTTGTTTGAGAGGAAATTGAATTATCCACGGCTATTATATACAGCAACCAATAGAAAAATCCATTTCAAAGATGTCATATACTGCAACATTTTATCGACTACTAAAACCAAACGAGAATCGAATAAAAAAGCCGTAATTAGAATGCAGTATCTATTTAGAATTTGAATTACAATAGCTATCTAAATAAAACACTATTTATAATTTATTATTTTGAAAATTGCCAAAAAACACAAACTTTTGAAATTTGCAAACAAACCCTCAAAATTTCAAAATTGCAAACAAATCTAAAATTTCAAGAATTACATACTAACACAAAAATCTGGAATTTTATCAATAGTCCCCTAAAAATTTGAATTTTAAAAAAAATAACCCAAAGTTTCAATTTTTCAACATCAACAATTCAGACCTACATGCATCCAAAAATTATAAAATTTAGCACCAACATATGAAAAATGGAAATTAGTAGCACCCAACTGAATATTTAAGATTTATAAAAAAAATGCACTCGAAGTTTTAAAAATTTTAGAGACAACACTTCAAAAGTTCAAAATTACACAAAACCCCTAAAAAATGAAAACTTTACAAATAAAAGAGAAATTATTTTATATTATTTCATTAAGATATGTAAATTTAGCATCTTAAAATAATCTAAGCTGTTGCTGGTAAAAAAAACAATAATTATTAGATTAAACATATCCCCTTTAGGTGTAAAATTTAGAAAAATATACTAATAGGTTAAAAATTAGAATGACTATATAAATTAAAATAACTAAATATAATTTTACTCATAAGTTTGAGTGCAAAAATACATAAGTAGCATTAGTTAATTGAAGACTATTTTACATGTAACCAAATAAAATATAATATATAGCTTAGCATTAATTAATTATATATTATAAACATTGATCTCTAATGTTAGTAATATTCACATGCTAATAAAATACAAGGAGTTATGTACGAAGAGACTATCAAAAAGTTTAGAGATATGTTTTAAAAAAATTAAGTTATTTTCATTTCAATGGAGAAGTGAAAGCAATAAACCCAAATTTTACAACTATCCATGAATCACTTTACTTAACATTAATAAAAGACATATCTATCAAAGAAACACCAACTGAATTCCAATTAGAGAACTATTAAATATATTTGTCCCAATCATAGAAGCATTTTCAATGGAAGATGCAAGGAAAATTAGTAAGCACTTATAAAAATTCATACTTTAATCTTCAATAAAAAATGAAATATAAATTTGTGGAATCATAAACTAATTATAAATTTACATGCAGATATTCTTGCAATAACAACTAACATGAAGCCATTGATCAGCTATGGTACCAAATATAACAAACCAAGCAATAGGAGGGAAATCACGATAATGGATAAAATGATATATATAATACTTATTTTCAATAACGTAAGAAAAGAACTAAGATTAATATTTTTTTTCATATATAGTGAATGACTTTGTTTGATGCAACAGAAACTCTTATCGAGTGCATATTTTCAGAAGTTTGTGTTGAAAATCAGAAAGATATTCAAATCCTGGCAAAGTTAGATGAGAAAACAAAAGAAAGTTAGATGAGAAGACAAAAGACGAACGAGCCAAAAGAAATATAATTATACAAGAAATACAGCTTCAGTTGACGTAGAGAATGAAGACACTACTCTCGAATTGCCAGGAAAAAATAAATGTTGAAAAGATGATCTTGGCTCAATTAAAATATGAAAAAGAAGGAATAAAGGACAATATATATTTCATACTATAGCTTAATTTTTTAAGTAAAATAAGGAAACTTTAGAAAGAATTTTTATGCAAATTGTTATAGTTTTTTTATATGCTTATGTAAATGCTTTTATCATTTAGAATTATACTAGAGTTACCATTGATCTTTACTTTTTTGTCTTTTTTATTTTAAGTCTATCAATAGTTAAAATCTCTCGCATTCTGGAGGAAACTATGTGTCTTGGGCTGAGCTTATACGAATCATCTTTCATTAAGAATTTTTTTTACTTTTACAATAATATTTTTCCTCAACTCAAGCTCTTTTCGTAGAAATTTATTTATGTTTTTTATCCATCAACAACAAATTATTGTATTTTTCTTCATACTTATCACTACATTATAAATAAATATATTACATGACGTTTGATCTGTACAAATTAAAAAAAGTGATATTGTGTATTCCATTATATAAAAGTATATTGATCATAGTTTAACACACAAATCTATTTCATCAAAAATTTTAAAATATTTAAAAAAATTATAGCAAATATAATAATCCAAGTTTACATATTTGGACTCAAAATGAATATGACTGATTTATAATAAGAAAATAAAGCAAAAATTAAATAATTTTGATGGTTAACTATGTGCATTACACGTGCATAAAAAATAGTGCATTTTAGGAGGGGGTTAGTCTAAGTAGAACTCAAAAGTAGAACTACGATAATTTGTAGGATAAAATTTTATAGTGCTGCTCAATTAGAATTAGAACTAGAATAATTAAAATTTTACAGTGTTAGTTAACTAAAACTGTAACAAAACTACAACTGAGATAATTATATAAAATTATCCCATATTTTTTATTTTTCTATATAAAAATGAGAGTTCTAGTCTCTCAAATTATCCCAAGTTTTAGCTTAAAAGTGGGGGAAAAAATTAGAACTCTCCATTTTATTTTCTTATTTCTTATTTTTATATATGTTTTATTTTTTCTTTACCTCTTTCCTTCAATGGTCATCACTATTATTAAATCATGTTGTCAGATTGAATCTCGTCTCCTCTTAGTCATCTGTTATTTTCTTTTTTACTGAATATTATAAAAATATAATTAAGTTAAAAGTAAAGAAAGTCTAGATCCGTAATTTATTTAAAAATAAAATTCAGAGATGACAGAAAGAGATCTCGAAGAGCAAAAAAAGAAGGAAATTATGTATAAATTTTAGACTTGCACTATAATAATAATTAAAAAATTAAAAAGCTATAGCATATATTATAATAATAGTTAAAGATATCTTATAGTCTCACCGGAAGTTATTTAATAGTAATTGACATTCTAGTAAACATTAATCAATAATAATAAGTTTAAAATATATAAATAGTATTTATATAATCAAAATGCATAAATATGTACTTCATGATTATCAAAAATTATCCGCGTCATTCTATCAAGATATTTCGCTTTATAAAATTGTTCCTAATTATCCCACTAAAACATCCCACTAGCAAAAAATTATTCCACTTTAACAATTATCCCAATTCACGTGAAAATGTCCTCATTGACTAACACCCCTGTCACCCCACCCCCTAAGCGTCTGAGTTAAATATACTTGACTTTATGCCAACTTTTAAATCTACCTCGACTTTACACCAGCTTTCTACTTGATACTAGGAATCATGCTGTTTAAAGACATCTTTGACTTTACACCAGCTTTTTACTTCACCTGGCTATCATGAGGGCATACTGACTTCATGCAGATATGTGATACAAAAGTACTAGTTAAATTTACTAATTTACCTTGTGAAGTAAGAAGAAATTATGAAAATGAGAAATGCCTAGGAACTTGAAAGTAGCATTAGGTCACCCAAAAGCTGCCTACCCTCTCCCCCTAATATGCTCAGATACAAATATTTTCCCATCCAAAAATGTGACTTGCCTGCAGGATCCTGCCATAACATATCAAATAAGACGTCAATGCTGCCATAGACCCCAAGTAACAAGTACAGCTGGAACGGAATCTTTCTGATGATGTTTTAGATGTTCTAGGAAGTTAGCAAGTTTGGGCACAAGTAGAGGTAGAACGGATACTTTCTGACATGCTTTTGGATGTTCTAGGAAGTTAGTAAGTCTGGACACGTAACACTTGCTAACTCGTCTTGCTAAATGGGACCTTAATTTGCCTGCATCTCACACTTGCTCGCAACACATGCATTGGCTTATGAAATTAGGAACTCTAACTTGTGAATCATCCAAAACTGGATCCACAATGACAAGTAATCCCAAACAGAGATATGGACAATAACTCGGAACAACAAGGAGATGTCATACTCCAGAATTTGCTTGTTGTTTCTCAAAATTGAATCATTTGTTGGTTGCCATTATATAATCCAGTCAGACAATCCTGTTACAAGATCTGTGTTCGCCAAATCTGATTATGCAGGTCCTCCGTGCACCTAATGCACTAGATGTCTGACTTTACAGTAATCATGCTTATATAGTTTACTATGACTTCAAACCAGTTTCTTACTTCAAGTAGCTGTTATCCTCAGGGTATGTTGGTCCTCTGCAGATGCACTGTAAAACAGAACACAAATTTCACTAATTACTTTGTTACTCTTGTGCAATAGTCCAGGGCACTATTTATGTCATACGAGTAGGCATGCTGAAAAACGTAATCTCTACAGAAACCAATATTATCAATGGGCCATTCAGTTTTTGACTACCTTCCCTCTAATATGCTTAGATTAAGAAAACACCATCCAAACATGTGATATATAGCAGGAAGACTCTCCGCTGACACATCAAATGAGATGTCATTACAACCCTTCTAATCACAATTTTGATTCTTTTCGAAAATGAAGGTCATCTACGTAATTTTATAATTTTTATTGTTCTTGGACATTGTAAAATACTCTTTTGCCAGCACATAAAGAACAGCTATCCTTGCATTGAAATCAGCCTCCAAAGCATTATTAAAGAATCTCCACTGCACATCCCTTTGATCAGGCTTAAAATTATCTTACGAAGGGTTGAACCTTAACATCAAACTAACAGGTTCTAGTAACTTAATCTCCAAAACCTGGATGGCTATGTAACTTGTTGGCTGTTGCATATGTTCTCAGCGCTAAAGATGTGAAATATGGCAATATCAACTATAATATGCAGTTGATACTCTTGCATGCTAAAGTCCCCTGTTATGCTATGTCAAATGAAACATTGCATATAACCACCTTCCTGGAGAATTATGCTCTTATTAGGAATCAATTAACACAAAAAGAAAGGAAGTCCCCGCATTTCAGATTGATGGGAAATGCAATAGTTTTATAGATAACTTGCAGTCAAGTTCTCAAGATAGCAACTAACTGAAACAAGAAATTTCACATAAATGCCTAAATTGTCAACAACAAGATAGAGACATGTATTATAAAAGCAGTCATAATGGATGTTACAGAGAAAGAATTGGTAGATTGTAAGAACCATAGCATATATAGGTTGTGAAACTTTTGAAAAATCAAATACAAGGCTTCCAAATTGCAAGTGAATTACCTCTCTTAACCAAAATTGTCACCCTGACATCCTTGACAGTGGAGCATTGTATTGGAAGATGGTCACATTAAGTGGCTTGTTTGTTAAAATCATTTCCCTCATGTGATACATTTTTCAAAATTGGCTTCCTCTTAATATATTTCATTGCATATCGATCTAGTGAATGGCTCCCGCTTATTTGTTGTGATTCCGAGCAAATTTCTCCAACACCCATGCCATTCAACATTTGCTTGTTCTTCTCAGGGGATTTCCCTTGACAACCTACTCCTTTTGACTTGCTTCCTCTCTGATACGTTATCCACACATCAGTCTTTCTATGATCTTCACTAGAACTATCAACCTTATCAGAACAACTCCCTTGCTCCTCCTTCACCGACGTTTCATTGCTATTACACCCATTATTTTCCTTCTTGAGCTCCTTACTCAAATCAGCAGAAGAGTCGCAAGAATCAAGAAATCCCTTATCGTCTCCACAAAATTCAACCTTCTCTGTGCACCCATTATACTGTTTGATCTTCTTGGCCGCCAGAGATCGATCCAAACTCATCGATCTGCTACTTCTCGAGATCCTTCGTGACCCATTCATCGCCAGATGCAACTGCAGAGCCAAATCTTCATCTCTGACAACAGGATCGACCACCACGCTACTAACACCGTCCATAGCTTTCTTCAAAGCCTTCTCCTTTGCAGTGGCAGCCTCTTGCATCAATTCCTCAGCAGCAAATTTAGTAAAAAGAGTCCTAGGGCACTTACTCCGAAACGGCGGCAGCGGACAGCAATCGACACAAACGAAAGACTCCGGCTTGAGAATCTCCGAGAAGCAGTAGGAGCATTTGGCGCCGGATTTAACAAGGCGGAGGCACTCGTTGCAGAGGAGGACGATCCGCCATTGGCTGTCGAGGGGTTTGAGGCTGGTTAGGGTTTGGGGTTTAGGGGCGAAATGGCGACTGCAGCTTTGGCAGTTGGAGAGAGAAGGGAGGTGGTCTTTGGGGTTCTTGGCCTTTCTAGGGTTTTGATCTCTGTTGGAGTTAGATTCTCTTTCTTCCTCCGCCATTGGAGGGAGAGTGAGAGGGTTTTAGGGTTAGGGTAAAATCGTATCGATTTGGGATTTGAGCGTCGGAGGCTGCGGGCAGTTGCGAGGCTTTCGCGAAATTTTAGATTTTGATGCTGCGGACGTGCGGGTAAGTACCTTTCCTGGTAATTCGAGGAGAAGCCCTCCTGCAACCACCGCTTGCTGCTCATCAAAGAACAGTAATTAAACTGTAACAATTGATGGTTGAAAATTATTTGTATATTGGTTAAATTGATTAAACTTTTTTTCATAGTCATAGGGAATCTGGCTGCTGCAAAAGTTCTCACAAAAGTATAAAATATGGGAATCAGTGCCCCGCTCTACTGATAAGGAGATCCTAATATTTTCTAATGGAATCTTGGATTTTAATTTATCGACTAATATCTCCTCGTGAGCAAAAGTAAGAGGAGGATAAGGATGAGATCTTGACATTTGATTGATCAAAAGCTAATCTATTTATTAGGAGATATTAGGAACAGTATTTATTAGTAGATGATCCCAATATCCTTTGAGGGGCTTTATGGATTTAGGCAATATAAAATTTGTTTTAAGTGATATAATATTGGTCTAAATCTTTATTTTTAGTTTGGATCAATATAAAATCAAAAGTTAAGATCTATTTATTAGGTGATATTAGGAACAGTATTTATTAGTAGAGGATCTTGACCATTAACTCTAACCTCCTTATGAGATCTTGACCTTTGATTGATAAATCAAAGGCTAAAATCTATTTAGTAGGAGATATTAGGAACAATATTTATTAGTAGAGGATCCCAATATCCTTCGAGGGGCTTTATAGATTTAGGCAATATAAAATTTGTTTTAAGTGATATAACATTGGTCTAAATCTTTATTTTTAGTTTGGATCAATCTTTATATGGTTGCCTAGTGAAGAAAAAACTAGTTTAGTCTAGTTTAATTTTAAAATTACTAAACAAGCTCTAATATTCTCAAGTAATCCTGCAAGCAGAAGACTTGTGCCTATCTTGGTCAATGGGGGCCAATATTTGGCATTATAATGCTTTTGTTACCATGGACCTTGATGAATTAAATGAAATTTATGAAATCCTATATAAACTCTGTTTTGGGGGGGGTTGTGTTACCTTTGTTGCCATTTTATGCAAATTCTTCACTAGGTATTTGATACTGAAATGAAAATATCTTTAGAAGACGAAAAGTGTCCGTACGACACGTAGAACGCTCCATTCTATGACGTAAAGATTGTTGAACTAAAATATAGCTTCTTTTTCCTTATTTATTTTAGAGTGGAGGCTGTAATAGGCTCAATCATGATCAAAAGCCCAACCCTTCAGCTCTAATAAGTAAAAAAAAAACGTCTCATTTGAAAATAAATGAAATTCGTACTCAATTACAATTCATTTTCATTATGGCACAAAGATTTGAATGTTTAAGATTTGTTTCTCTATTGTCTAATCTCTGGTAAGAAAATCTATACCCAAAAAGAAAAAAAGAAAAAAAGGAGAAGTCTCCAAAGCGATGTGAGATTATTGATATTTAATTTGTTTGGGTTTAGAGAACAAAGTCCTAGACAGGAGATTATGAAGATAATTTATTAATTTGCTTGGGTTCCACAGAACAGAACCTTCCAGTTGTCACCCTAACTTAACATTTAGAAATGGCAATTAGAGTGGATAGGACTTAAAACAGATTACAAATTGTCATTGTTCAAATTTGTACCTAGCAGAGGGAATTTGTAACTATTAATTGTAAGTGCATGTAAAATATGGTCTTTATAATTGAATAATAGCGTCTGTAATATCTGCTTATTAATTATTTAAAAATACATTAGTTTTAAATTTTTTTAGGACTTAGTTAACCAGATCAAATCACTTAATCATTTTAGTCATTGAATTCAAATACTCAATGGTTGATCAATTACAACTCATTTTCATTATGACATGATCCATATCAGGTAATACCTTATTGAAATAGAACAAATAGTGTAAATACACGAATTTTATAATATGCCCACTTATAAGAGGATGAACAACTTGAAAATTTGTAATGTCCACTTCGTGATCGGATTTATATATTCACATCCATATTGAGAATGTTCTGATAAGATTTATATTACCAAATATAGTTGAAATGTCCTACATTAATACTAGGGGTGGAAACGAATCAAACATTTGATAAATACTTCGGTATTTATTTAAGTATTGGCTTGGATTTGATAGTTTATTTAACAATAAACGAATAGTGTTTAGTATTTAGTTCATAACGAATAGAATTTAACCATATGTGGATCTGATTCGTTTGTTTAATAACATATTCGATACAAATTTGTTTACTTATAACTCGTATTGATTACACATGTGATGTTATGTTCTCGACACACCTTCAATTTTTATTTCAGTTGTATACTAATTTTGAGAGGCTTAACAAGTACCAAACCCATTTTTTTTGAACCAAATATTCACATTACAGATTTAGATATCATAGATATGAAGGAATGATTTTCAATTATGAATTTAAATGTTATCTAAACTATCAAATTCTTAGAGCAATGAAAATATTTGTTTAATCAAATGAAAGTATCTACTTAATTAAATTGTTTAATCTATACTACTTATAAAAGAGGATCGGGGTGTTAAACCTTTTGATTGCCTCTTTTACCCTTCCAAAATTGATAATTCACAATAATGCCTTGAAATTTATTCAATTCTTTCTATTTATTACACTATAATTTTTCTTACAATAAAAATGAAAACTAATATTAAAAACTAAATATATATTATAAATTTTAATCATAAATTTTATTTAATTTATTCTATTTATTACACTATAATTATTATTGCATTAAATATAAGAACTGATATATTATAAATTTTAAGCATATAGTCTTATGTTAAATAAGATAAATATTTCACTTTAAATATTGGATATTATACAATAAAAATACAATCCTAATATATAAGACAATAATATCATAAGTTATATTTATATATTATATCATAATTTAATATAATTTAATATTTAATTAAACATCTAACATCTAATCCAATAGTGTAATATATTGATATGTGCATCTCATGTATAAAGAATCCATGGAATATTAATATAAATGTTAACCTCTTGGTGTAGTTTAGAAATAATATATAAATTATCATAATATATATTACTAAGTATTGCAATATACTTATCATAGTATTTGAATACGAGGTAATTCTAAGCATGCGGAATTCCAAGCAGTGTGGAAAGCTATTACATTTGCTCTTGACACTGGATGTGGGAAGGTAATTTTTAAAGAAGATGCAGATGCGGTAATTAGAGATATCATAATGGGGTGGAGCAATACTTGATTTTCAGACACTTTGAGGATGATATTCAGTGATGTTGAACATGAGTTGGCGAATGAGATTTTCATGTGGTCCGAAGAGCTAACAAATTTAATAATTTTATGGTATTACGCAAAGACCAACCATCATTTTTACACAATGTTTTTACATTCTGATAAGGAGCAGTGTCAATCCACGAATAAGTTTAGTTTTGATGTGACTTAATATTTTTCATGAAAAAATATTACAATATAATAATTAAATCCTAAGTAATAAAGTAATTTATGACATCTCACCTTCTAAACCTACTAATGGTATATTTAATATGAACTAGTATAAAGTACGTGCATTGCACGTGGACTTACTTGTCATATTTTCTAATGCACTCTCCAATGGTACCATGCAAAATATTCCATAAACAAGGATAGGAGGTATCACTTCCTTAGGTGCTTTTTTGTTTCTCCTTTTTTTCTTGTTATTATGTTGGTAGTTTTACCAACATTATCAATAAGTTTTATAAGATATTGCCTTATAATATTGAATATAATTTAATGGTTACTCTTAAGACATGATTTTTTTTAAATTTATTTTTTATTTTGTTGTTTTTTGTCTTTCATTAAACCATCACATAATATCATCACTAAAATTAACATGACGGGGGCAGGTTTTCAATGTGAAATTATTCTATTCAGACATATAAAATTTTAAATTTGCAAATTTTTATACTTTTTATTCAAGAAAAAATAACTTTTAATATATTGAGCAATCTGTTTAATCATGATCATGAAAAATCTGTATTTTTTAATTCATTTAATAATATCAACTCTTTCATACTTCCTAAACACTTGTCCACGACAAGCAACTAATTTCTAGACCTCTTGAAAGAAAGATACAACAATGTAAACATAAAAGAGAGAGCCAACAAAAAGGATTTTTTTTCTAGCAAAACCTTGTAGAGAATCAAACTGAAAGTACTTCGCCTCAATATCAGTCCAATCTTCAATAATTGCATGCACCATCATCCTCCAAGCATCCATTAATGGCTGCATTTTCATCCTCAATGTTGACTACCACACCCAACTCCTCCTTCACTCTTGACATCATCACATTGTCTATTGTCACCATTTCTTTCTCTACCACATCTCAGCTCCTCCTTCACTTTTGACATCATCACATTGTCCATTGTCACCATTTCTTTCACAAAGGAACTTCCTCCAACTTCCACCAGGCTCTAAGATTATATATATAGCTTGGAACTTGAAGATATAGGATTTGAAAGTTTAAAATAAGATATGGACAAAAATAAATGCTTAATTTGACAACAGTGAAGAAAAAAGGCTACGAATGAAGAAAGAAATAGGAGGGGAAAAAGTTATTCTCATGTTCAAGTTTTAGAAAAATTATTCCTTTTCTATTCAAATAAAAAACTCTATATATTAATTAATAAATTTCTCAAGTAAAAAAGTTATTCTCATGTTCAAGTAAAAAAAAGCATCTAAGCGAATTAGAAGTAAATCTTGTACCTTAATTGTCGAAACCTAATTTTCATAAATTTGAAGATACACGGTGCTAGCTCTCAAAAAAAAAAAAAATCAAGCTCTACCCTGCAAACTTTGAGAAAAATAAGTATTAAAGAAATAGTCATGTATCATTGCATTCGTTTAATATTGAAGATGCATGGTGCTAGCTCTAAAAAAATCAAAGTCTAACCTACAAATTTTGAGAAAAATACTAATTAAAAAATAATTGAATTTCATGAGAAACTATTATGCAGAATTGAGACCTTTGAAATCGTGCAGAGTTGCATTTGAAGTGGAATTAGTATATATAATGTTTATAACCGACTTTGTTAGTAATAATTGTTAACGGAAATAATTATTGTCATTTTTAGTAA